ATGTTTCAGAATAGGCGGAAAGTTGATTTTATCTCAGATAATACTGGCTCAAGAAGATCTAACCTAAGTGCTGGCCAGTTACAGAAAAAATGAGCACCAAAAACGTCAGTTAGACATGATTGTCTGAATAACCGACTGACTGCAACTGATTTCGGCATGATCATGTCCTGCATTAATAATGTGAAATGTACATTCGATTGTTTTGCGATATCAAACGACTGAGATTAAAATCAACCTGGCTAATGCTGAAACCTTTGTACTCTAACTTAATCCATGCCTTGCAATGTATTCTGTGAGTCTGAGTGCCCAGGAGGTAAGCAGGTGTGCACTTCAGTACAATAACCGTGAGTGATAGTAAGCAGAACGCAGAAATAAACACATGAACAGGAGATGGAGCGAAACAGGTTAAAATGAAGGAGTAAAGAGCAACGCGCAACCATATCGTCAACTCTGCTAATGTACTCATCTTTACCCATGGTCATGGAAGAGTGCTAATATACGTCATTCAGATCATGAAGAATCTTGCGATGATTGAAAATGTGGTCAAGATCTTAGGATAGACTGAAAACATTTACAGGGGCAGACTCTCCCAACAGCCTCAATGAAAACTGCCCAAAGGTAAACTATTGATCATATAAAGGATCTGATGTTATTGCACCTTGGAATCCAGACCGTGGAGCGTACCTGATCAATGGACAGGAATACTTAACAGGCTGAGGAAGTAGCTGCTGGTCGAAAAAAAAGGACAGCAGACAATGAAGATGAATAAAAATTGGTTTTTTGTTTGCTGATAGGCGTTATATAGTCCGTTCAAATTTAAGTCGATAGACTACTGTCAAAATGTCGAAACGTGGTTGTTCAGCGTGTTTTCTCCAGCAACGTGGTTGTTCAGCGTGTTTTATCAATGCAAAAAAACTTCCAAATGACTCTCATTACACTGTAGAGAACATGGAAAGACTGGACGGTGTCAATGATGACCAAGATTACAGCCGTGAAGGCAGTTCTTTTCCTTACTCATGTACAACATAGAAACATTTCCAATTCTAGGGGGTTACGAAGATCACTGGACTTGCTTCAAAATCAACGCTTTAGAAAAGACTGTCAACGTCTGGCGATATCACCGAATATCGAACGTCATCTACTTGAAAACCACCGGACTGAAGAGCCTTTCGGAAGAGCCAGGGGATCGATTAAATGGCTCAAAAGAACAGCGAAGACATCCAAAAAATGTTACTTTAATGGGAGCCTGAACACGTCCAAAGAAAACCCAGCGGCCAGTTCAAAATTCTGCATACTGGAACTAGATCTGCTCCTGACGAGGAGTGTCTTCTTAGTGGAAGTAGTTAATGCTTAAATTAACCTGAGCAACTTCTTTCCTGCGTATCTGGTATCATAAATTCAAAATTAATTGAACCA